TTAGTTATTTTCAATCTTTTCTGCCAGTGTCTGCAAACAGTCAGCATTATTGAAGACACCAGGCTTCTTTTGCACACTATCCAATCTCAATTTCAGCTTTTTATTCTTAAAGAAAAAACTGCTTTCACAGCTTTGGAAATTACCTGAGCTAAACAATCTATCACTGTAAATGTGAAGCCATAATTTGGTTTTGTCAAAGCTACTCTGCAGACGTTCAGCGTTCTCATATGAATGCATTCAGTTACGCACTGCTCACTGCCAATCACCCACAGCAGGACATGAGAGTAACTGGGAAATAATCCAGCAGAAAATGAAGCCTTCCTCTCACATGCAGCCTATATATTATTATTTTTTAATTGGGTTTGACACTGTAGAGGTTTAGATTGCAACAACAAAAGACAAGTGTCACACATATGCTTGGAGGTGTAATGTAGACAAGATGCCGAGCTGTAACTCAAAATAACATCACTTGGTAATGCTTTCCTCTGGAAATGAAGACAGATTTACCTCTAATGTGTATGTGTGTGTTTCTCATTAGAGATCCAGACTTATAAGGTATATTTATCTGTTACGAAGTTAAAAGGGAGTGTTAGTTTGCGTGTGCATGAGATGTTCCATGTGTTTTTTTTTCACTATCGCGTCTCAGCTTGTTTTTATGTGAAACTTGGCTTGCAACACAGAGCAGGCTAATAAAACATGTTTGTGTGCTGGAGGCAGACTGGTGTGTGTTTGCAGTAATGGGTGAATACGAGCTAAATGATCCTCAGCCCACACTGCTTTTGACAAGCTTCTGGTGGTGGCAGGCCTGTCTCTCCTGCGTTCCCGCTGCCTCTCGCCCGTTCTTTATTGCATTACAGTCTGCGTTCATTTGAGAATAATATGTCAAGCTGGGACGTAAGCCAATCAGCGCACGTCCCCTGCTGCCGTTTTCTATTTACTGTATTCGTCTGTGCTTTTCCTCCGTCTCTCCGCCTCTCCCTTTTCCTGACTTCCACTCCCTCTCTCTTGCTAAATCTCCACATAGCGGCAGGTGTTCACACTTCCACGTAATATAGCAGCTCCCGGTGAGTCAGTAATGAGAGATGGATGCGTACGCTTGTGAGGTGTGGCGGCATATTTTTCCAGTTAATGTGTGTTTTTGTGTATCCGTGCTGCATTCCAGAGCAGCGCCAGATTTGATCCAGTCAGTAAATCAACAGAAAACCTTGGATATTTTGGTACAATACAATTCAACATGTGGTGGAAGAGTCTTATGCGGGGACAAAAAAGACCCTGTTATTAGGCTATGACTCTTAGAGCTATAATTATCTGTTGAATACATTTCAAAAGACACATCCACCCTTCCTCCCGCTGCTCTCCCTGTAACCTTTCATCATTTAGTTGATGACTCAACTTTTTGATCCCAGTTAGTAAAATGTGATAACAGATTTGAAGGCGATCCAGCCATCCCTTCCCGTCACATAAGACCTTTAAGCTGGCAGTTACATGAGTTAAGGTGTGTATCTGGGCGTTGGTTTGCCGCAGGATCATAGATGTGATCAACAGCTTTCAGTTCTAGAACTAATACAACAAATAATAAGACAAGTTATCCTCAAGGGCTAGCATTGGGTTGCATTAGCAGTGGTGGACTCAGGCTGTTTGAAGGGTCGGGGTGACACAAATGAAAAGGGCACCAGCTGCACAGAAGGATCTTTTAGCGTTGTGGCAGTCTGAGAACACAAGTGACCCTCAGTTTTAGTTTTTCAGTCTTCGCCTATCCACTTTTGAACTTTAAAATAAAGTCGCTCTTGGCATCTAGTCCGGCCCTTAACCTCTGTTTCTGCAAATGACTGTCAAACATGTCTCTTGTGCCCTTTAAGGAAGAGTTCAGATTAAATTAAATCACAGTAAAAAAAAAATTAAAACAAATACTCTGATCTTAAGCATAGATCCATATTCTAATATATATTGGTGTGTTTTCACTACATGATACACCTATTTATTTCCCCAGTTGCTCCTCTGTATTTTGTTTCACACGGCGGATAGTTGCCTACCCCTTGAGTGTAAGCGGGTTGATCTGATGATCCCCTTAGCGACGGTAACAACGTCACACTTGTAGAATCCTTTAATCTGCAACCAAACAAACAAAAACCTCCACTTGATCAATTGTATATACAGCATAGTTTGGCATGCTGCCTTTTAAAAACAATCTGTCGGTCAAGAGAAAGAATAACTTGTTTGCGCACAAAAAACGAGTTTGTGCAGTCCTGTAACCTTAGCGATGACTCTTGTAACTGTCTGTGTCCGACCAAACAATGGTCTGCAGACTTTTCACTCTGTCGTCTCATATAAGCTAAGGGGAAACTGGACATACTTGAGACGAGGTGCTATCAAAACAGGCAGAGCTTGGAAGAACCATGCAGTGAAAATGTGTCAAAAGAGTAACTTCTATTTCCTTTAATTTTTCATTTCATCAACAGACTAGTCCAACGAAATAAATTGGACTCAGATGATGTAACAAATGTTGACAATGACACTTCAGTTGTATTCTCAACTGCTCTTGAAATACACTTACATCAGGGCTGTCTGCGACTGAGTCATGATCAAGGAACAAACTCTTAACATGCATCACAACCACAGGCGATTACTCTCCTTCCATTAGTGTGAGATTATAAGAGGTGTCCCAGTGAGCAGAAGTGACTGTCCAGTTTGTTTAACCGAGGCCAGTCATTCTTTTGGTAAAGGTAGAGCTGGGGATAAGACAGGAACCACAGATTGGACAAATGTACTCTGCACTGCTTGACCCCTCTAGCCCTTGGTCTCATTTATTGTGCTCTCTGCTGCCCCCCTTGGCACTTTTTTGTGAAAGTCCGTGCCAGAGAAGCTCCTTTCTTTAGTTCTAACAGGCAAGAGACTGCAGATTTAAGGCAGTGGTATAAACTCTGCTGCGTCCACTTTGATTGTTGCACTTGAAGAACCAAAGACACACAGGCGTTATCCCTTTAGTGGAATCAAAGGGGCGTAGAGGAGGCCACATGACTTGTTTTTCTGCAGCCGCAGAGTCTAGTTGTGGTCAGGCTGTCACTAGCTCCCTTGTCTTCCTCCCTAACTGCTCCTCTGCGTCCCTCATTTCCTCCCCACCTCCCTGCTACTCATACACCCTGAGCCAATCTCACAAAGGACTGAGAGGGAGGAGAGCAAACAAGCCGGTGGTGGTGCAGAGAGGGAGGAGTGAAGCACAAAGACATGGAGATGTAGCAAGTAGGGGAAATGAGGTTCAATCTGAGGCTGTTATGCCTCTAGGACCAAATCATGACAGTCCAGTGTGTTTGCTTGCCTGTGTGACTGTTTTCATCTTTTGGTGTGTTTTATGATAGCGTGTTTGTGTGGGTGTTAATGTGCTGCTGAATATGTGTGTGTGTGTGTGTGTGTGTGTGTGTGTGTGTGTGTGTGTGTGTGTGTGTGTGTGTGTGTGTGTGCACGTGCACGTGCACACAGACTCAGCTATGGCTGGCTCTGCGGCTCATCACACGCTACAGCCAACTGCTGATTACACAGCACTTGTTTTGTCTTCGCTCTACCCTGTTCTGCACCCATTATCAGCCCGGGAGGCTGCGCAGAATTAGAGAGCTTTGTCTAACACACTGCGACTCAACTCAAGTTTCCCTCTTCAGCTGTTTTCTCCGTGGCTCCCCGCTGCAGAGGACACCTCTGCCGGGACTGAGGAACGAGGAAACGGTCAGACATTAGAGTCAAACACTTGCTTGCTCATTCCCTTGATCTCTCTCTGGGGCTCAAGCCTGTTTACCCAGACTGATGACATTATGACAATCAAGAGGGGATCAGTTCCGTTCCACTTCCTGTCCGGAGGCTCCCTGGTGTGTTTTTGGATAGTTTGGCATGCACAGCTACATCGCCTCACTGATTCATTAGAGTCTCCCCGTGATGTGACTCCCCTAGCATCAGGCGAGTGTTAGTGGGCCATGACTTATTGTTTCAATGAGGAGCTGATGAGTTGACTGAAGCTAGCACTACGCCGTGTCATTTGAAAGGCAATCATGTGAGAGCTGATTACACAGCAGATTTAGACAGTCGGTGTCCATTTTCTATGAAGAGTGGTAGTATGTTTTCGAGCCAAGGACAGGCAAACTGGGTGTGCCTGCTCTCTAAAGGAACTGCAGGAAGGACAACTCAGTGGACAGATAGCAGATTTCCTGTCGGGTTGCGAGGTAAACAAAGAGGGGGAAATCTGTTTGCCTAACCTAGGCCTAGGGAGGTGTGTGGCGCAGTGGATAGAGCCTTGGTGTTGGGATCAGGGGTCACAGGTTCAAACCCCACTGCAGTCAGCATGTCGTTGTGTCCCTGGACAAGACGCTTCACCCCAAATTGCTCCTGTGGGGATTGTCCACAGTACTGAATGTATGTAAGTTGCTTTGGATAAAAGCGTCTAACAAGTAACATGTAATGTAATGTAATGTAACCAATGTGTCTTTACAGCACACATGTTGTGCTTGAGAAATAAATGATCCGTTTTTTGTTGAAAGATTTTGGTCCCATGAGTCCTGGATAAGCTGGTTTGTCCTGGTTTGTGAAGCATGACGGACTCAGGTTGTTTCTCCTCTCCTGCTCTCTGTGGGCAGCCTCTCAGTCACTCAATGGGCACCAGAGCAAAATAAACTTGTGCACAAATCCAATCAAACCCCTACTCGTTTAACCATCAACCAAGCCACATTCCTGTGGTGCATTTAATTTGTCTCCTGTCTGAGCCCCTCTGCTCTCTCAGCACTGCAGCGTGGAGTCACAAAAGCAGCCAAGCATTGACAGGTGCTTCTGATTTCCCTCCATCACACCTAGCATCCATTGCAGTACATGAGCTGAAATGTGGTCAGACTACTGAGTCAGCCTTATACCGAAGTTTATGGGAAAAAAGCGAGTGTCTCAAGTCAAGTCAGCCACAACACTCCACAATGCTTTATGGGCTCTTTAATGATTGACTGTATTAAACCCTATTTCTCTCCCTCTCTCTCTTTCCACAGGCGCTAGCAGCCAATGCAGGCACAGGGTTTGCAGTGGCCGAGCCACAGGTGGCCATGTTCTGCGGGAAGCTCAACATGCATGTGAACATTCAGACCGGCCGCTGGGAGCCAGACCCATCCGGAACCAAGAGCTGCGTAGGAACCAAAGAAGGCGTGCTGCAGTACTGCCAGGAGGTGAGTCACTGTGAAACATTTCTAATCTCCATCATATCAGTTTCGGAGGAATGGTGATTCAAACACCAAAGTCAGTCAGGAAAGGGAAGAAGAAAGTGGGTTGTTATCATATATACAACCAATACAACTAATTTAGGGAGGACTAAGGCAGGAAGTCCTCACTATAGGCCTATACAGATGTGCCATTATCATTGGTTTATTTTATTATATGAGATTAGTAGTTTTTGTCATGGTTCAAATAAAAATAGAATCCAAGAGCATGAACCGTAGGCAGGTTTAAAAACAGTGTTCAAGGATACAAAAATCTATGAAGACAAACAAAGTACCATAGGGTTAGGCAGATGCTGAATCCATAATACAAAGGCAAGGTCAAATATAAATTAAAAAAACTGGATCAGAAACAAAGGGGCAATGCTGGAAAGCTAACCGAATGGCATAAAGACAATCACAATGAGCAGGTGAAGCAAATGCAAAGACGGGAAGGCAGCAGAATACATTCATAAACAAACTGAAATACAAAACCATTGAAAAATATGTAATATACTTCAATCTAGTCGAGTCGAGTTTGAAATATAAAGACCCATATGCTGTGGTTGCACTGGCTATGTGCTGCTGTTCATAGTCATTACTCCACTCAGTAGCTTGCTACCTTTCTAGCTAATCATGCTAACAAAGGCCCTTCAAACCAGAGCCATCGCCTAGGAAATGTTATACATGCAATTGACTTTAGAATGACATGTTGGGAGATACACTTACTGAGTTGAATAAGAAAATATATGTAACTTTTTTTCTGCAAGCTAAAGAAAAGCTGTATAGCAAAACATTGGTAAGCAAACTATTCTAGTAATTCCTTACTTCAGAAGCTGATAAATATTTATTAATTTCACTCCCCACAAAAATAATATATATTTGTTATTGTTATTTATTAACTATAATGCTAGAACTACTATTTAAACAAAGCTGACTAATTGAAAAAGAGATAGCATGATAGCCTTTCTAGCAGCCGGGCACCTTTGGTGGCTTGTGACAACACATGAATTATATTCATATTCAAGACCCTTGCTGAAGTAGCGCCACATCCCCTAGTTAAATAACTACTATATTAAATAAAGTGGACATTATGTTAATTGGTGAACTTGAGAGGTGCTAGCAGGAACATTTAGTTACATTTAGTCAAGCTAGGCTAGCCGCTTTTGTACTTTAAAAAAAAATGATATTGAGATGAATTGTATACTAAGTTTGGAAATTCAGTTTTCATTTCACCGGTAGGCCTATTCATCATGGGAGAGGCTATTGAACTGTTCTTGAGAGACAGACATTACTTACAGTGCAGTGGGTGGCATTTTAATTAGCAGGCTCTAGCTGCTAGCTGTCTCTACATAAGGGCTTGTTTTTTTCCAGACATGGATATCCTCTCTCTCATTTACTTCTTCCTACTACGGTATCTCATAAGCAAAGATGCTGCTGGTAATATTGCCATGGTTTATTATGTGGCTGTACAAGAAAAAGCAGACTGTACGTTCTAGATCAGCCTTCCCCACAAGCTTCAGTTGCATTTATTGATGACATTTTGATGGCATTTGGGGAAAGTAAGTTGTGTGCTCTTTCATGGTTGAGCAGATGGTATCTAGAGAGCATACAGTGTGGATTAAAGGCTCCCATTGAAGCTCCACTTATCCCACCTTCTCTCTCCTGCACACACAGCATACTAATTGTTTGCTTCTTCTTCCAACAGATGTATCCCGAGCTTCAAATCACAAACGTGGTGGAAGGCAACCAGCCAATTCGCATCGAGAACTGGTGCAAGACGGAGAAGAAGGTGTGCAAAGGACACGCCCACATTGTGGTGCCTTACAAATGCTTAGGTAAGCTTGTGCTCTAATAACGACTTGAAGGGCTTGGGGAAATCACTTAGAGGACAGTAAATGGCCTTCCGTATCAGATGCTCTCCACTGTCCCCACCCCCTACCCTCTTCCAAATTGGTCCTCCATTTATCGTAGAGAAAGGAGAGATTATGATACATATTGGCTGTAGGCAGTGGTGACATAGAGCAATATCAGAGTCTGATTCAGTTGACTAATCCTGGCCTTGAGCTGCGGATAGAGCAGATCCAGGCTGGATGGGAGCTAATGTCTCTCAGAACGGATGGCTAAAGGGGGGAAGCTATTATTGCTGGGGAGGCTTGTTGAGCAATAAAGCACAATCTTATTTCCCCCCTCAGACAGTGGCCATAAACTCACACAGACACACAGGGTCAGTGAGAGGGAGGGCTGTGGGGAGGCCGGCTTTATTACTCCCCATTTCTCCATTCGCCTGTGCCGTCATCCACACCTCTCTCGCTCCTTTGTCTCCTGCAGCATCACTGTAATCAGCAGAGGCAACATGGCTGTGTTCTGGTTTATTAAATGTCAGATGGAGCCGCAGACTAAGCAGGCCACATGTCTCTGAGCTCCCCAACAAAACCACAGCATGCTCCTGCTGCCTCTGAGGATTGCAGTAACAGAGAAATACAGTTCTGAAACAAGTCTCCTCTCTATGCTTGTCCAGATATGTCAGGAAGGAAGTAAATACCTTCTTCTATGCCGCAAACACTTCCCGGACACCATGCCTATGTCCGAAAGCCTTTTTGCTGATTGAGTTGTATCTCTTTCCCGGGATGAAAAAGCCATTAGGAGTCGCACTGGACTGTGAAATGGGCGACCATTCAAGAGCATTTTTGGCAAATGCAGAGAGGAGGCTTTTGGGAAATTCATGGGACAGCAAACACCACAACCGGAGTTGGCTGCCCTGTGGCTGAGACAGGAATACAGATGAGAGAGCTTCACATGCAGAATCAATCTCCAAAATGTTTCTGCTCTCATCCTGAGGCTGTTTCCCTCTGACTACCTGCCGCACTCGATGGCCTCCTTTTCTACACAGGCTGTTGCATCTAGCTACATCCCAAAACCTCTCATTGTGATTCAGCAACAGTGCCATTTAGTTAAAAACAATCTCATTACCTCTTCTAGAATAATTAAATAGCTGCACCGCTTGTTCTTGCACATTTTTTGTCATCATAGTTAAAGGTCTGCGCACTCATGCCTCATCAAATTACAAAGGCCGGCTCTGCTGGCTTGCAAATGAGGAGTCTGAACGGGGAAGACAGATGGAGAAGGGGAGATAGACATAAGGTGTTGGCGAAAGGAAGCTATTGAGAGGGCTTCTGCTTAATTATGTAATGGAGCGTGTTAGGACCTTAATTTGAGGACTCTGATCATATGCTACGAGCCACGGCATTCCTCCTGCACCTCACCTCGCCTCTCCAGCCCACTGTTTGCCAGGCCTCTCGATCATATTAAGTGGAATGAAGAGCGCCTTTGAATTATTCATTCTGGGTGTTTCTCAATCTCGAGTAAAGCTGCTCCAGAGCCACTATTTCAAGCATACTACTTTATCGAGTGCCACCGAAGGACTGTTCCAATGTCCAGTATACTTGGAATTCTACCGAGCCCGGCGTACTTCGTTTGGAGAAAGTCCGTGGCTGCATCTGTGTAGACTCCGCGGTCTTAAAATCCCCACAATGCTTTGCGCACGGACCAATTTCCCCAAATCTGTGGCGGAAAATGTAAGGCGGGGCCTCTCATATGACACACACCTGCACACTTGCTAGCCTGTTCCACTCTTCAAGTATTCTTGCCTCGCTTCTGAAGCAAGATGCTCGGCAGACAGGTGCTACCAAGCAAGCGTACTCGAGATTGAGAAACAACCTGTGTGTGATGTTTACATAGTGTTCCAATGTTCAACTTTTGAAGCTGAGGTGGAAGCGTCAGCCAATCAAATCCCGTTTATGCAAATCTGACAGTAGAAGCACTAGCCAATCAAACCGCGTGCAAGCTGGGAGTGACATACCGCAGTTCATTTTCTATATTCCTAACAAAATGGAGGAGAAATTAGTTATTGCGGTAGCAAATCACCCGGTTCTTTATGACCAGTCCCTATTTACTTACCGGGATACAAACCGGAGGAACCAGGCATGGAGGGAGGTGGTAGAGACAGTGGGTGAAACTGGTAGGTTTTCGCCTGTTTGGGGATTTTATATCCAGTTTACTTCGTTTTAACATTGCTATTGCTTTGTATGTCGGGGGCGGGAGATTCATGTGATTGGTTGTTGGTCGCATTGCTCACAAAAAATCCCCAAGCTTCAGATACGCCCACCTCCAATATTTTTTTTTTGCTGCTGTGTGGACGTACCGTTATAATCATCAGCGTACATTAATTATGGTCCAAGCAAAAAGCAATGAAATAGACCAAAGGGAGGTGGGCTATATCTTGGAAGGATGTGATTAAAAGGGCCAGGCCAGAACCCATGTCAAGTTAATAGGTTAATATGAATAATGCAAAAGGAAGGAGCTCAGTGTAGAAAGAGAGGGATGGGTTATGCTGTATCCCATCGCTCCACGCAGAGGCTCAGCCACAGAGCCACAATCCCTCCATGTTTCCCGTCCCCAAACAATGGCTCTGCAAATGAATGTGATGTGTGTACCATGGCACTGTAATCCCTGCAGCATGATGTCTTTGTCAAACAGCACAGGATTATTTTAGAGACTTTTTTATTATTATGTCTAGGGTGGTGAGAACAGTCAGTGGCAGATGTGTGGCTGTGGTGTTGGTGAGTGTGCATGGCAGAGTATCTGTTACACAAGACCTAAATGTGGGAGGGAATTCAGCTGCTACAACGCAGGCTTCCAGATGAAACATAACATGTTTCCAAAGAAAGCCTTTTCTGTGTAAACACCGATTGATATAGATCTTTCTAAAGGCATATTCACATTTAATTTATGTCGCTTTATATACACTTCTTTAACGACTATTGCTCAAGGTAGCTTTTACATTTATTTGAGGCATGTTAAGGCTTATTCTGAGCTACTTTCTACCGCATGGAAGTATTTTAAGGACGTGTTTTGACGAGAAGTGGATTTGAATTAGTAACATTTACAGACATGACACATACTTTGCCTTTCCTGTTAAGTAATTCTGTTTATTCAACAAAGGGAACGGCACACCATGACGACTCCTGATATCATTCTTGTGGTCAATAAGTTGATAAAAGATACAAATTCAGGCTTGTTTCCGAGCACCACTCCCTTGTCTCTATGAACTTTATTGCTTCTGGGATTGTTTTACACATGAGTCTATACTTAACACTTATAGTTAAGTGATACAGAATTGGTTAAGGCGAAAGTTTCGCAATATTAAACTATTGCCGAAAAACCATGAGATACAAGCAAATCTTGTCTCCATTATGTAAGTTAAACCACCAGCTGCCTCCTGGCTTTAGTCATGTCTCCCTCATGTAACCCTTTCATGGTGGCAGATCAGATTTCTTCCACTTAAAAGGCACAATCCATGATGCAAATGTAAACAAAAGGGTTGCCAAAAAATAAAAGCACAACAGTGGAACCTGACAGTAGGGCTGCTCGATTATGGCAAAAATCATAATCTTGATTATTTGGGTCAATAATTGATATCACGATTATTAAAAACAATTATCCATTTACTTTGAAAACATCAAATTATATTGAAAAAAAATGGAACAGTATGTTTTTAATAGTTGATTACCCTGAACTTTAAGTATAATTCAACTGAAATAAATAAATAAATAAAAAATAAATAATCGTTTTCAAAGTTCAAGGTTCTTTATTTATCATACGAACATAGCTACAGAGTAGTTATGTCGATGAAAATCTTAGGTCACAGGCTCCTCCAACAGAGCAACACAATAATACAGAAAAACAGAAAAATATAGTGCAAGTAAATAGTAAAAAGTAAATAGAGAAGAAAAATAGTTGAAGTAGTGAAGTAGTGCTATTTCGATTATGTTGTTTTCATAATCGTTGCAAGCCCAAATCGTAATTGCAAGGGGGGGGGGGGTTTGGGGGAGAAACTTATATTGGAGGGAACTTAGGGATGTTAGCCTCTGAAGACCATGTACATGCACCAACACCCATGCAACACACTATAGGAAAGGGAAGACCCAATATAGCATTATAGGGCACCTTTAATATAATAAATTCAAGATGTAATCATTTATCGCTGTGAAAATGTAATTTTCAGATCTCACATTGATTACACTAAATGTCATTACAGCAGCCTTTCTTTGGAAAGTCCTTGAAACACAATAGCCTTGCCTTCAAGGAGCACATCTTAGTTTGTGCTTAATTTAATTCACCACCTCCCAGGGCTGAAAGTATCATTGGTGTACTCTTACCTTCACACTGTCCGGGGACTGGAGAGTGTTAGCCAGGGTGTCTGATAGACTGGAGGTTAAAGAAAAGTCAGATGAATAGAGTACGTGAGAGGAGGTCACAGAGAAAGAGGAGTGTATACTCTCATACACACACACATACAGGTACACACACACAGAAACACACTGAGCAGGAGTGGTTGCGAGGCGCAGCTGCTCTCCACACACCACCATCCATCACCGTCCCCTCCAAACCAACCCTACCCCACAACCAACCTGTGAGTGTGAGAGAACGAGACAGAGAGAAAGATGAAATGAAGAGGGAGTGTGTGCAGGCTATAGAGCTGAAGATTACTGAGAGTCTGTCTCTCAGTTTCTCTTGATGTGAAGAGAGGAAGACTTTAGATGGAGAGATGTGTTACTGAAGTAGCAATACCCCAATGAAAAATAAATATATTACAAAGTAAGCTGTGCATTAAAGATTTCACTTATGTAAAAGTAAAGAAATATAAAAATCAAAATCCAGTAAAGTATAAAACGTGAAAGCACTCGTGCCGAATAGCCACTTTAAGAGTGTTATTTTATTCCATTATTCTGTCCCATCTAGTCGAGATGGAGGTGATTTCAACGTCTTAAGGGTTTAAGGCAGGCTATAACAATGCTTTATATTTTAAAGGCAGGTTACATCTGAAGTATATTTCAAAATCTGCAAAGAAGCTATTCTAATAAATACTGTACTCTCCTAAATGTTGTGAATTAAACAAAGTAGTTAAATAATAACTTGAGTGTTTATTATCTAAATTGTTAGAAAAAACATCAATTACAATTTCCTTGATCCCAAGAGGACCTTCACAGTTCAAAATGAGAATTTGAGAAATCAAATGAATGTCAAGCGTTTTCACTGTAATGATAACATTGGAAACTCTAATAGCTAAACACACCTTTTCCGGCTACCATCAGTCTTTTGTCTTTAGTATATAATCACATTTCTTTCCTGGGATTTGAACAACTATTATGATTTATTAACCTACCAAATATACATTCAATATGCTCTCCAGAAGACACCAGACTCCATTGACAGTAACACGCTGATTATTGCAAAAAAGCCTTTTACTCATTAAACTCTCACTCTGGTTTAAGGTAACAAAGGCCATCTCCTATTTTTTAGTGGTGTAAAAAAACAGAATATACATACTTAATTTTGTTGAAAAAGGGGTATATGTATAGAACTTAAGTAAATGTATTAACTTTCCCGGGTTGTTTGCACAAATCACAGGGAAGCAGCAGAATGGAGGGATGGGGTGGGGGGGGTTGTGTGAGGGGGTGTTACTGTATCTCCTGGGCGGAGATGAGAAGCAGCTGCAGAGTCCTCTGCTATTTCAAGCCTCTCCTCTTCCTATCCTACCCTCTCATTTTCCAAAACACTGCTTTTTCCCCCTCATATGAAGCCCTCCAGCAGCTCTGCCTCAGGCCGAGGTCGTGACAAACCGCTAAACGACCGGTTATAGAACGACTCCCAGCCCTGGTCGTGAAACCTTTACACCTTCATTGTCGTTTTCCCATTCCTCAACCACTCTGATGTGGACTTAAACCCTTTATTCATCCCTCCTTCTCTCCTCCTGGCTTTCCATCTGCTTCTGACAGCAGCGCTTCTACCTGAGCGACTCGTCACACTGCCAGCCAATCAGCAGTCACTGTCCCTCTTAATCATTCTTATGACCCCCGCACCATATGCTTACAGGCTCATGGCTTTTCCACCTGCGACTATTCATAGGAATTCACAAGATGCTTTTCATGTAATTTATTTCCCCCAGATCTGCTTTTTATCACCCCGTCCTATGAATAAAACATCCTTCGAATTGAATTCATCTTGCAAATGATATCATTGACCTGCAGGAAGTGTCGGGATGCCTTAAAAGAGTCACAGTGTGAAACCAGATTTTCTGCACTGCCATTTTGATTGCATTAAAGAGTTGCAGAAGCTGTTTGGGGATCAGGTGCACAGGCAGATGTTCCAGTGTCAAATGGCCTTTCGGTTATACCGCTGTCATGAAATGTAAAGAACCTGGCAGCTATGAATTATTGATGCATGAATTTCTCTCACTCATCTCATCAGCTATTCCTTTTTTAGTCCCTCTAGTTGATGTATTGTTCCTAACCCTGCCCGTTTTGTTGAGCAGTGACCTTTTTCTTTGTAGACTGATTTGAGGTGTGACTAACAGGCGCATTGGTCCGTGTGATTTGATGTTACAGTGGGCGAGTTTGTGAGTGACGTGCTTCTGGTTCCAGAGAAGTGCAAGTTCTTCCACAAGGAGCGTATGGACATGTGCGTCAGCCATCAGCAGTGGCACGGAGTGGCCAAGGAGGTAAGGAAGGAATGACTTCACAGGAAACAGTGGTAGGCTGTATCCGCGAGATGGCAAAGGGAAAATCATATGGGAGCAAAATAACAAGTCTTAATCATTCATTTAAAGGTCTCCTATCCTCTCATGCAAAATGCACTTTTTGATGTCTTTTATATATAAATATGTGTGTAAGGGAACTCACAAAGTGTCAGAAAACAAAACCCTCTCTCTTTTCCTCCATACTCAAATCTCTAAAAACGGGGGTACAACGGTGCTGATCCAGATTTGCGTCCGTAAGACGTAATATTGGAAATGTGGGCTGGCTTGACATCCATGGCCCGATCAGAAACGTTGATATCAGAAACAATGCGCAACGTGTTTTGGAAGTAAAATGGTCTTTGTTTACATTAACAAGCATCGCTAACATTCAGAGCTAACCTGTACTGGAGAGAGCATGTGTATAAATGCAGGATATATAAAAAGGAACTCGCCTTGTGGTAAACCCGCAAGAGAAAAAGTATTTGAGCTCCATCCTGTTTCAGAAATAATCCTTGAAGTGGTTTTGAACGTGATATGGCGTTTCATCACGGCAGTATTTAGCTGAGTATATCAGGTTAGAATTCTGAGCAGGCATAAACTCAGATTTCCCCCCCCCTCCCCTTTGTTTTTGTTTTTTTAAAGCTACGGACCCCGAATCAGCCCTTCTCTAACAGGCCTGAGATAGAGGGGTATGAGGCATGGCTAGAATGGGTGATCTGTTTGGTATTTTGAGCAAAACACTTCATAGACATGTTTTTTATATATTTGTATATATCTGAGACCTATAACATATTTCTTATAATAGGAGACCTTTAACAAATGTTTCATGCCCTCTCCCTGTCATACTGGTCACCTTTTTATTACTGTCCAATCTCTGCTCCCTTATATCCCTCCACCTGTCTCTGAGGCCCTCAGATCACAGGCTGGCTGGGAGCCCTCACATCTCAGTTGCTAATCAGATTAGTGTTGTGGTCGTAATGCAGCTAATCCCCCCTAGGCAGCTCCAGAGCCAGCCCTCGGGGGCCACTCTGACCACGACAGTAGCAGCTCATGGATCACATAAACCGTCTGCTCCTGCCTCATAACTCTTACTCTCTCCCCACACGCATCACAAACGCTCGAATCAGAGTCTCATTCGCAGACACAGATAGTGTGACATCCCGAGGCGCAAACAACCCACATTCAATATGAAATGTGTTGCAGCCAAGCAGTAATTAATCTCACCAGTTGGAAAATCTGGGTAAGAAAAATGACTCAAAAATTGATCTCACCAACTGCCACTGAGATGTTGTTAAGCAGGGTGCATAATCCTTGCTGCTCCGCTGGAGTTTCATAGCAGACATCAGTTGCTCTGAAATGACTCCATACCTCCGAGCTGCTACACAGCATTGTTGAGAAATAGCACATCAGTAAAAGGACTGCGTGACTTTTTCGAAGTGTGGCCCATTCATCATGTTAGTACGTATGTGCTAGATCTCAAATCAATATGGCTATATTCCGTAGGGGGATAGATGCAGGGCCTCCTCGAAGTCTCAAAGTAAAAACTGGTTTCACATCTTGGCCTTTTATACACCTGAAAAGTTTGGTGAAATAAAGTATAACAGATGCTGTCTTAGTATAAGATCATACATGATAGAAGTATTACACAATTACATTTGAAAGTCATATACAGGCACAATAAACAATTCAGTCATTATGTCATAAACTCATGTCTTTTTATATTTTCCAAACACTTTGATAAGGCTGGCCAAAATTAGAAATGGTCCTAAAACTAAGGACCAAATTAATGTCAAATCTCAACAAGCTTGCTGTACAAACTGGAATATGCTCAATATCATTACATTATTTATTTGTATGTGTTGATGTTGAATATCTTCTTGAATAATTGTAATACTTTTTGGAAAAAGTTATTTCTGTTGTGCATGCATCGCTAAAAGGGATAAGAGGAAATCATTATTTCCTTTTTGCTGCAGAAAAACTAAAATATTTGGATTTGTGGAGACGTAAACAAATTGTGAAAATCTCATTTGTATTTAAATGTTGTCAGGTTTTGATCTTCAATCTACAGTATATTAAAATAAATCTATCAACCTTACTGCAACATGTCAACAATATTATGTTCTCCCCGTGCGACTAGCATGCTCCTCCATCTGGCATGGGCCTCATTGTCAATGTAGTTCTTAACTTTCCCTTGATGAATGAAGGTCAAACTAATGTGATCTTGTCTAAGTTGAAACTCTAAAGAGGCCTAGAGGCTGCTTCTTCATCTCCAACTCTCCTCCTTCTGCTCCGTCAGGCCTGCTCCAAAAGCTCCATGATGCTGCACAGCTACGGCATGCTGCTGCCCTGCGGCATTGACAAGTTCCACGGCACCGAGTATGTGTGCTGCCCCTCGTCCCGCTCCGGGGAGGCTGCTCCACCTGCCATGCCCACCGAGGAGGACGATGAAGAGGAGCAGGTGGAGGATGAGGAGATTGACGAGACCGACATGGAAGAAGACTACGCCGTAGAGGACAGGTGAGCAGTCTGGGGTTGTGTGCACCATCGTGGCATGTCTTTGAAATATTACTAGCCCAATATCCACGAAGGGCAGATATTACTGGCCACCTGGATGAATTAAAGTGCCGTGACATTGACCTATGCCTTGTTTGATAAATCACTCCCCTTCCTGGCTTCCTCCACCTTCACTCAATCACCTCCGCCCTCCCTCTTCTTCCTCTTCCTCAGTGAGGCACCGGCTGAGGAGCAGCCCACACAGAAGGAGGAGCCGCTGGACGAAGACGAGGAAGAGGAGGACGAGGAGGAGTATCACTACGTCTATGAGGACGAGGAGGCAGACAAGGAGGACGAGTATGAGAAGAAGGAGAGCCGCAAAATGCCAGAGAGCCAGGACGAGGACAAGACTCTGCAGGAAGTGAAAGGTTTGTAATGAGCTGTTTTAAATTATAATGCACCCTTCTAACTCCCCCTCTCTCTTATTGGCTCTTTGCCCACCACTTAAATATAATCAAACCTTTTTAACTTTTACACTATAGGCAGTTATGCGTAAATCTAAGTCAGACTGTAATTAGATAAGTGTATGCATCAGCAATGCCCTTTCCTCAGCTCGCAGCACTTCTGTTCTGCAGTATCAGAGTACAAGGACAAATCATCCTGCCTCATTTGTAGCCAAACTGCTGCCATTTGCTTTAGGATTTGCTCAAATGTTTGTGTTTGTTATTGAGACTGGAATTAAGTGCTGCCCCTAGTGGCCGGATGATCTAACGAGCTGTCCCCTGGCAGCGGTGTGCACCCTGGAGGCTGAGACCGGCCCCTGCCGAGCCTCCATGCCCCGCTGGCACTTCGACTTGAGCCAGAGGAAGTGTGTGCGCTTCATTTACGGGGGCTGTGCCGGCAACCGCAACAATTTCGACTCAGAGGAGTACTGCATGGCCGTGTGCAAGCGCCTGAGTAAGTCTCACCAGACCGGGGCTGGTCCGACAGCACCCCCTC